GATGCTGTGCAGCTGGAAAACCTGCCTGCCATGGAAGCTCTGCAGCCCTGCCTGGTGACAAAGGCTACTGTTACTGCATCTGCCTGCACCAGAAGGTAACAAAGGAAAGAGGCAGGTTTATTGGAAGGATACAGCCCCTACCTCCCACTGCCTCTGCTCTTCTGTGAGTCCAGGCCACCTCCACTACACAAGCCTTACCCTTTTTCTTCTTTTTTTCATTTAAATAATTATGCACAACAGTTGCAAAGCATAACACAGAGGCAGCAAAATAGAAGTAGCTACTAAAAGCCAGGCACCAACTGCTCAAAATGAAATGAAAATAAGGATATGAAACTAGGGTTTGACAGGCAGAGGCCTTGAGCAGTGGGACATGATTCTCCTTTCGCTGCGAGGGTTTGCTCTGCTGACTCCAGCTCAGGGGCTCTAACTCAAGGGGCCCAAGGGCCTTGTGACAGCACACGGTACGTGCAGTTGGCTTCATAATGCTAAATTTCAATTTCATAAATTCACAAATGTGCAAAATGGATAAAGGAATTAACGATGATGAGGAAATCTACTCTGTTTAGTTTTCTCTCAATCCCAGGAGCACATTAACTCGGTTAATGCCCCCAGGGAAACAGAGCCATTTGGTAGAACAAAGGGTGGATTGGATTAAGCTGGCCCCATAGGACAGCAGCCGTGCTGTGAGCAGAGGGAAGGGCCCTTGCACGGCACTTACAATCCACCACCAGTTGAAATGTGTTTCCATTAAAGAACGTCTCTTCATCCCAACCTCAATCTTCCCCACCACCCAGTGGATTCTGAAGAAGCTGCTGTAAAATGCAGACACTCTGCCAGCTTACTCGCCCAGCTGCCCAACGGCCCAGCAGGTAACCCCTGTCTTCCTGAGCTGCCCCATTGCTGCCACCTCCTCTTCCATGTTCTCCACTTCTCCACAGCTTACCAGGACAAGCCATGGGGAGCCCAGGATGAGGCCAGGCAGCTCCATGGCTGTGGGATCCAGCATCCACTGCCTGCCAGCATCCCACCACGAGAGCCTGCCTCGCTCTGCACCGCCCATCGCTTGGGATGCCAGATCTCAAACCCCACCGGAACAGAATTTAAGACAACCCCAAAACCAAACAAAAATCAAGTCTGTTGGGATTTGTCTTTCTCATGCAATCTAATGTCAGTCATACCACAGCTTGGAAATAGGTCACAGCCATTGTCTAAGAAGCCTGATTTGGAGCAGAAGGCCAGGAATCACAGGTTTTCTGACTCTAGCGGCCAATACATTAAAAAGAATAAAATCATAAAGACTCAATGTAAACTATGGAAGGGTGATTAAATTAGACTGTAACAGCAGGGAGAGATTCCAGCCGTGGCCAAACTACCACTGTGCTGAGCAAACAGGCAAGTAGATTTTATGGAATCACGTGTTTTCTGAGTTCTTGAAATATATTTGGGAGAGACCAAGTCTGCAAGCTTTACCTAATCCTGAACAGCAAATTCAGTCATACACAAATGTCAGAGAATAAACACAGGGTGAATTTGGTGGGAGGGAAGGAAGGCATTACGCATAAGGAAATCTTAGAGAGCAACTTCTGGCTCTCCCCCTAGCAATGAAGATTAAATAAATAAACGAACAGACAAACCTAAGGAAAAGTATAACGCATATTTGCCTTGTACTTACTGAAAAGTCATCATCGGGGAATAATATCAGATCCTTGAACTGGTTATCCCCAATATTTTTTTCAATCTCTGTGATAACAGCTTCATAATCCAAAGGCTCCAAAAGCTTGGGTTTTTCCTGCTGTTGAAAAAAAAAGGAAAGATCAGGTAATGTCTTCACACTCAAATTTGCCTTCATCCACCTTCATAAGCTGAGATCTGCCACATTTTTCCCTTTTTACATCAAAGTATGAACAACTTCTTCCACTCTCCATTCTTCCCAGCTTGCTTCTCACATGAGAACAGTGGAAGCTGGGCCAGTTCTAACAGTCACTGTCCATCTAATAATACAAAGCAATCTTTCAGCCCATCACAGAGACCAAACCCACCATGTTAATTTAACTGCCATGCTCAGGAACACCGTTTTTCCATAAATACACGTAGGCAAACAGACACAATTTGAACAGAACATAGATATGACTTTGAGCTAATATGTTTGAAAATAAATAACCTACTAATTTATTCACTGTCTTACACAGTCCCACCTCTTGAACTGCTGGTAGTTGTGAGAGCTACCACATCATTTTACTTGCTAATAATCCAAGGTTATTCTTCTGGAACAAACTATCTGGCACCCATTCCCATGGTTTCTCCTGTCAGAAACAGGATTAGGATCATCTCAGTAGTACAGTTATTGCCCCAAACAGAGGTCAAGTGAAAAACCACCACAGGAACAGCTGAACAAAAGCAAAGTCACGCTGTCTCGAGATGGAACCCAGAAACAGAAAAAGAGAAGCCCATGTGACATGCTAGAAAACATCAAACAAATGAAGAGTCACGTCTCAGAATGACAACATTTGCTTAATTCAAAGAATTAACACCAGAAAGTATAATCAAGAAAGGGCAAGAGAACTGCTAGAAGTGATGGGAAATCAGGTGATGAGAGATATAAAGGACACTATTGGAAAGCAAATGCGGAAACCCTTCTGCAGAACACTTCTTCAGTCTGATGCAATGGTGGACATCAGGTAAGCTCTATTTTACCCACTGTTCTTGTGCTGTGCTATCCAGAGGAATATAGTATCCCTCCCTTCCCCTTCCTTAGACCTAAACTGTGGTGTCTTGGAAAAGAAAACTTTCACATGTCCATAAAACCAAGTTCTCCAATGGATATCTAATGATTCTCCATCGTATTTGATTATATGTATCTCGTTCACATACGGTCCATTACACATACAATGGTCCAAATATACAAGTTTCTCCCTCTTTTGACTTCATTCCAGAAAGCTCCCGTTTTTCCAGTAAATACAGTCATCTCAAGATTTCTCCCCAGCTCTTGTGAACACTGTTTCCCTTCTATATTAAGTTCAAGACTCCCTTTGGTATCAAATGCATCTATGGAAAGTTTAATTAAGTGTCGGTAACACTGCCACACAAAATAGATTCAGACCCTGGGATACATGTTCCTAGAAAATTATCCAATTGCTGAACAGGTTATGATAGAATCTTTGAATAACTCAGGACGTTTGTGGGTCACCTTCTCCAGCTCCCTGCTCAAAGCAGGGCAAGCTCCATCAGGCTGCTCAGGAACTTGTCCAGATGAGTCTTGAAAACCTTCAAGGATGGACAAGCAACTAAAAAAAATTAAGAGCTGTTCCTTCAACAATTCAGTCTACTAAGTCACTTCTCAGTCTGTTAACTCTCTTAGTTACATTTGCCAGCTTAAGAGTTAATAAACTTCTAAAAATCATTAGTATTTAGCTTTGACAGGCCAAAAGCACAAATGCTGAGACACTAAAGACTTGACAGACACGACCAACACACAGCAGTAATAAACAGAAACTTTCTGAAAGCTCTTTCCCAAGGAAAGTGGTTCATGACTGCTGCTGTGGGATGCAAGGGAGAAGGATGAAAGAGAAGCAATACTTGACCTGCCTAAATATGGTGGGTCTTTAACTACCAACTCCCAGGAAACCACTAAAAATCTGTCTGCATGAATAAAATAAAAAGGGATTTTGACACATGGCTACTGTGCTAGATTCCTGCCCAGGTAAATCTAGGGATGTACAAGGACAGTTGTTTGTCTTGCCTTAGAGTTATGAAAGGGAGATTGAATCAGAAATAAAACCTGGGATTATTTAACAGAAGAAAGAAACTTACTCAGAGGAAGGCCACTGTAAAACACAGAAGACCTAAATAGGAAAAAATACCTTTAAAGTTTAATTTAGATTCCATGACAGGACTGAACACCAGTGTAAGACGCTCAGGTAAGACAAGGCATTCAACCAGGACACATGGGACTTGACCCAGCCATGTTACCTCCAACTGTCCCAAGCTGGTACTTGGCCCTGGCCAGTACCAGTTGACACATTACTACCCTGTCCTGGTCCAGGAACGCTCGGGTTGAGTAGCAGCTGTATTTCTTGGTCAGGTTTCAGTCTGCTGTTTACCAAGAGTGGTTCCCCACAGGAACGTAACGGGCTCATCCAACCATCTCACCACGCACAGCTCGCTCTCGTTTCCTTTCAAGTTCTGTTGAGTCACTGCAGTACCCTCTAGCCATGAGTTTCAGACTCTCCTTCATTAAATCTACCATTGCATCTATTTATTAAATATTCCTATAGAGACGTCAGTTTCAAGTTTCGAGGAGGTGAAGTGTGACGAGGAAACACCAGAGCAGAGCACCCGGAGTGCACTTTCCCTGCTGTACCACTCAGCGTTGGGAACAACGCCCAGAAATGAGTAAAGTTCACTCAGCCCACGTTTAGCAGAAAGCAAACCCATACTAGTGTAACCCTTACCTTTAGTAGGAGATCTTATAACGAGTGCTTACAAGAAAACTCAAAGTGTAAAAATACACACGCTGACATTCATGGGGTACAACTGTTGCACACAGGCACTTTCCTGTGCAGCTGTTTCACTACAACACATACGTTTTCTGCACAAAGTTTGCGACATGGACTACACTGATAACACCCCTTCCTAGAGCAGATACTCTCCAGCTCAAGGTTTTACAACAGCCTCAACCTTCACTAAGTCAGACATGCCCCTGAAACCATACGTATCTACTCTTCAAAGCCAGAGATGTGTCAACACAATATTACTCTAGGTCAGATGCTCCTTGGACACACCATGAATGCCAGCTTTCAAAATTTCCTAAAGAAATGTACAGTCAGCAAATGACATAAGTAGGTGCCTTTCTACTGAAGTCACAGACTAAGGAAGAGCTGGGGAATCCCACAAATCTTGGGACTTTTCTTGAAGTACAGGGGAATCCCATAAATATGTGGCATTTGCAGGTTCTCCATGCCAGTGGAAACCACCCTTTCTTTTGCTGGGGCTGGTAGGATGAAGAGGTTTTCCTTCTTCCCCCTGGGAGTCCCTGTGACGCTGGTGTGAGCACAGCTACATCTCCTTCAAAATGAATGTCATGCAGATGTTCAGAGGCCCATGGAGGCAGAGTAAGCTATGTCACACTGGCCTCTCTCTTCAGAAGCTGGCAGCACTCAGCCAGCCACTTGTGATAGCTGCCTGAAACACCCCAGGGGAAAACTTCTCCTCGACAGCTGCAAGGTTCTTTAAGTGAGACAAGAACGCAACTCGAGAAACCCCTGAGGCAGAGAAGCACAGCGAGCGTTTGAGCATCCCTGTTCCCAGCACTCATTCTCCTGCTCTCAGTGCTGATCTGATGGAAACGTTCCAGCAGAGGTTACCACAAAAACCTTATGAGAAAGTTTATACATCCAAAATGTAACGAAACATAAGTAGATGTGACGTTATCAAAATTACTGCAAAGGCTTTCAGTGAAGCACTTCATGATTTCTGGTGCCATTGTTCTACTGACGCAATGACAAATGGTCTTCCTTCTATGGCATTACAGCAAAATCCTGTATAAAATACAATACCCTATCTCAGCACCTCCTCACAGCTCCTCTGTGGAGCCAGTACTTTGGAGCTGGCAGAGCTCAGCACTGCCACGCCTGGTGCTGGGGTGCTGGGTCTGTGGTGGGAGAGGCCGCTGGTTGTGTCAGTGGTCTGTCTCCGGAAGGTATGGAAGGACTGCTTGGTTCTCTCCTCACGGGCAGCCAGAAGCAGCAGTGCAGGGATTAGCCCATTGCTCCCTGCAAGCACTAGCAGAGATTTGTAAATGAGTAGGGCTGATTTAAAGCTATTTTAACAACTGTAGTACTGCCTCTTCTCAATTTAACTTGTCTGTTCTTTTTGGAAGCAGACCAACCTAGCAATCCGTGCCAAGATCAAATTATGCTGGCTTGGGCTTTTATAATGCATTTTATGTTCTCTATCTCAAGTGAGTAATGAATTACACGTAGTTGTACTGAAAGGGTTGTGAATCCATCTAGTAAAAAGACATCTCCAACTCCTCACCTGCTACAGCCATTAGAGCAGCACGGTTTACCTCACACCCTGACAGTGCTGTGTACTCCTCTATGCTGCTGAGCCACCTTTTCCAAACTTTCTGGACAGTGAGGAGAACTGTAATGAGTGTTGGGGCCAACACCTCAGAGGGATCACCACCACCTAATTTCACATAGGTGAAACAGCCCAGATTCCCCCAGTGACGTACAGCTTGAGCACCATCATCTTCTGAGTCTGCATACAAAGCGTTATTTTTCCCAGTAATAATTACCAAAAATATCCACAAAAATTATTTTACAGAAACAGACATAGTACCTGGCTTGCCTCCAGCTGCACAGACATTGTGCATTGATGTTAGTGGATGCATAGATCTCTTCATAATTATAGGATAAAATGACTTACAGGTCATCCTCCTGAAGCCGTATTCCTGTGAACACTCACCAAAGGAGGAAATGATGTAACTGAGACCAATAGTCTCTGGATAGTCACCCCAAGCACTTCCCTATTCTAAAAATAAGCCAGACCAAATGCAATGATTTTCTAATGCTTTAATGACGTATTATTGCTAGACACCAAATCCTGAGTACAGAAAATTTATTGAATTTAATACAGACATTTACATTAATTTCTTCTCTTCCCAATCCCAGGAAGAAGAAAATTAAAAACCAGCTACACAGAATTTTAGCTGATTGATTTCAGTTATCTGGACTAAAATATCTTCAGTGACAGGAGGGTCCACTGCATGATGAAAAGAGCCAGAAGAAT